CGAAATAAAATCTATGACCGCAAAACGCACCTTTGTAAAGCCCAGATGCCAATAGGTGAGTTATTCGTTTTAGGTCCATTTCAATCCTTTTGCAAATTGAAGGCGTATTTATGATGACATGCGAATGACAAATGGTGCCGTGATGAGCGTAATTTTCTAAAACGACTCTTGGATCCAATCCTATAAATCTCTATCTATAAAAGACAGGATGTGTGTGTGTGTGTGTGTGTGTGTGTGTGTGTGTGTGTGTGTGTGTGTGTGTGTGTGTGTGTGAATACACGGCCGCAATTTTCGACGGATATGCACCAAAATTTACATGCTCATGCTCCAAGTTAGCGGAAAGGCCAAAACCGACTAAGCATTTCTCAACTCCCATCCATAGTGGAAATAATCGATTTTTCCATGCTTCTACGGCATTTTTCATGTAGTTTGCGGCCATTTTCTACTGGCCAGAGTGAGAGCCTATAGCTGGCTGCCACGAATAGGCAGGAAGATTCTATTGGCCAGCGTGAGAGCCAACAGCTGACTGACACGAATGTTAACTAGCATGCTAGCATGCAAAAAAAATCGATAGCTGCATTCGTCACAAGTGGGAAAAATTTAAATCTGCATGGTACTTTACTCCAATTGGGTCATTCGCTTGCTTAAACTCAACGTTGATTCTGATTCCGCAGAACTGGGTTGGGTGTGAAAAAGTATTTGTTGTTAACATTCTTTTTTTCATTCGTTTTTTCCAGTTACGAGTCCTTTTTTTAAAGCTGATCGTTTTGTGTTCATTTTGTTTAGTTCTTTTTTCGTAACAGATTTGATGTTTAGTATAGAGCTTAGAAAAAATTCGCATTGTGAGATAGGCATGTAGCAAATCAGCAACGGCAAAGGGCACTTCTTTAAAGGCAAGCAAGGGCAAAAATATTTTAAGTCGAGTGATAGCGATTGCTGTATGTCTCGTTTGATTTTTGAATCAAGCACGGGCAACGCCGGGCCATGCTGCTAGTAGCAGATATTATTTTAACTGTACCCAGTAAATTTTCACACCTTCAGTATCTGGTAACTATCACAGGAGGCTACCTGACAACATGTTTTCATTTCAGTTTATCTGATTTCGTAATGCTAATGGTTGATTTTCAGGTTTTGCATGAATTTACGTTTCTCACAACATATTTACAAAATTCTTTGGTACTGTAAGAAACACGCCGATGAGTGCATTAAATAAGTTTTTCACTCTTTCTAACAATGTTTAGATTTTTTTTCCAGGTTTTCACTCTCTTTCATTTCCAGGAACGACGAATTCCGTTATTTCAGATTATGTTTTTCTCTTTTTTCCTAATGAGTAAATCTGGTCTCCTTCCATATATTGGCTGGGTTTTTTGAATTTCAAATTTCTACAAAATTATTTTTTCCCATTCTCCAGAACTGTTTCTGGCCAGTGCTAATGGTCCGCATAGTCAGATTCAAATCGTTTGCATAATTCCTAGTTTATCACCGTTCCTACCCAGCTATGTCTTCTTTTGACCCATTTTCTAATATTTGATTGCATTCACTTGTTATATGACTGACTATTCCGTCTTTGTCCCCGCATTAACAACAAAATTATTAATACGGATTCTTTTTCTGTTTACAAGGAAACTGCATCTGGTTTTTTAAATATGATTTGAGCAAAGAGAAATGCTTCTGGATTAAATGCGTGTGTTTTAGACGAAATCGAATTCTTTGATCCGAATTATTGAACTCTTTTTGGGTCCTGTCACTGGATCTAACTAACGCCTTTATCCACTGTGCAATGTGTCACTGGTGACATCTGTGTATGAATTTCTGTGTATTATAAACCTAATGTCTTCAGCAATCAATTTTTTACCAGTGCTCAAATTGCAATTTTTACTGTTTGTTGTGGATTCCGGGTTGAAACCCGGTATCAATATATAACAAACGCCAGGAATGAATATATGAAAATAATGTATTAACGTAATAATACAAACTGGTAAAGCAGGTTAGTATTTCCTGGAATACGTGTTAGTAGCAATATATATATATATATACAGTCTTTGGTATTGAAGTATCGCTGTATGACTTCTTACTGAGTCTACGTGCTCGCTCACTGTGACTCCTACAACGCTGTTACCTCACCTTCACTCTTCCGGTTACCTACAACCTTTTACTCTGTCACTCTGGACTCGACTCGACTCTTCGGTCTCTCCTCGGGTATTCACTGGCAGGTGTATAAGTATACACTGGGTGAGTCCATTTGTATAAAAAAGGGTGGACCCCTTAACACTATTATCATTGCAACTTTTTTTTTTACCAGAGCTCATATGCAATACCTGGTTAAGGCGGTTGATAACTTGTAGAGGGAATTAAGCAGGAGATAACTGATAATTGGCATCCATTAGACATGGCACGTGGAACTAGAACAGTCTACCCCTGTGAGCGAAATAAAGGGTTCAGTTAGACATTTCAACCACCTGAAGAAGGCCGGAGCGTACAACGGCCGAAATGTTGTAATAATTATGGCGACAAAGATGAGGGAAATAGTCCCAATAATGTAAATAGTGTACATAATACCTCATCTCAGAAATATAGATAAATTGCGGTCTTTTGTCGTTCTAATTCACTCTTGCTCCTTCTCTACCTCTCTTTGAGCTCTTCAACGTGAGGTAATACTTAACAAGCTTCTCTTAATAGACTGAAAAGTGAGTTCGAACCTCATTGGGTTCCCCATACTTTCGGTCTTTACGTTTCTGGCCCGTTTGCTGTCACCTTTTCACTTTAGCGTACCAATTAGGTTAGTTACTGTTTCCCTCCTATTTCTCATACCTTCAATATGTACCATTGAGTGTAAGATTCTCCAAGCATTCTTTCCTCGTTATGCTTCCCAGAAAGTTACTGTATTTCTAGTTTCTTCGCATTCTTATTTTCCTTAAACAGTTCTCATTTCTCGAATGCTTTCCTCCTGGTATTCTCATCTTTTTGTCTAGAGAATCATATAAAGAGATTGTTCAACATTCTCTCCCATACAAGTAAGATAGACATTACATAGCACATGTTTGTCTTTGTTTCTAAGGACATTTTACGTTGCTTAGTTTCTGAAAGCATGTTTTGCTATTTCTAACCATTTTCGGATTTCTACGTTTTCTGTTACTAGACTAATCGTTAAATTTCTGCGCCTGGTTGAGTTTGATGTCCTCAGTATTTAGTCCCCAACTTAACTTTACTTTTTTACAGACAAGCATGGATTCCATCTTCATTCAATTAAAAGTCAGTCAGTCTTTTTTTTTTCTTGTAACGGTTATCCCTCGGTACCTCTTTCTTTGAAATAAAGAGATGGAAGTGTGAAGAAGCTAAGTTAGGTGTTGATGAAGTGAAAATTGCTGTAAGGAATTGGTTACATCACCAGGCAGCTGAGTTTTACGAAACAGCGTAAGCAGAATATTAAGAGACAGAAAAAATATAATTTAGAAGCATAGAGAAGAGTATTGAACTATCACGGTGATATCTGTCCTCCTGTATGGCAATGAATGCTGGGTAATTTCCTTCACGTAATGAGGAAGGAGGAAAATTTGAAACTTACGGGATAGATTGATGGAAAGAAGGTCAGAGAAAAACAGCACGTAAAATACTTGATGGGCTTGTGCAAATACCGTAATTTCTCGAAAATAATACGCATTTTTTAATTGTAAATTACAGGTGATAATAGGGCGTGCGTATTATAAATAGGTTAAAACAAAAATATTTTTTTCGTTATTCATTTATAATAATAAATACGTACTTGTTGACATTTTACTATCATGCCGGCTGGGCAAATAACAAAACGCTGAAAATTCCAAAGCTCATCAGGAAAACGTAGGGCTATGGATGTTCTTCTAATAGACATATCAAACCTCTTCATAAAAAAAAACACCAGTTTACTGAAGCTTTAAATGTGTTTCCAGGATATCAATATCTAAATTGTCATTAACAAATTATCATTCAAAACATTATCTTTTTCTTGTTCAAAATTATCTTCGGCCTCTTCATTCTCTTGCCAAAGGATGTTATCTTCAGAGCCATCCATGGCTGTCATGAGAAAACACTTCTTGAAACCTCTCTTTATAACATCCTCACTGACAGAATCCCAAGATTCCTGAATCCATTTTACAATAAGTAACTAACTTTGATTTTTTTTTTCCTGTTGCCACCAGCAGTAAAACTGAGAAGACCAGAAAACATCCAGTCATTCCATTTTTTACACATCTTGTTTAAATGGACAGTTGCAGACAACATCCATTACTTGAAGTTGGCAAGTTATTCCCCCTGGTATAATAACAAGACCAGTCCTCTTCTCTTGAAGTATATTCTTCATGCAAGGCATCCTATGGCAATGAAATGCATCAAGAACCAACATATGTCCACTTCTTGCGAATTCTGTTCTGTGTTTACACCAAACATTCAGCAGCCAGTCCTTTCTGAGATTCTCATCCATCCACTCTTTTTCATGACATTTTACTATCATATCAGCTGGGCAGTAAACATTTTTTGGTAGAGTTTTCCGTTTAAAAAATTATGTCAAAGGGCATCTTCTTAGAATCACCATATACACCAAACATGACTGTGAACCTATTCTTCTCATTTCCAGTTGTTTTTATTGGAACAGACAAGGGTATTTGGTGAGCATTTCAAATACAGCCAAAAGGATAGTTGTGCTTCGTAGACCTCTTAATCTCAAAGAAACAACGTGGATTGATTGATTTGTTTTTGTTTTGTTTTGTCTATGGTTTAGCAACAATTTGCAGGTTATTTAAAGCCAGAAAACATTTTTACATTCTAAGAATTTATTTTGATATAATAATGATTTACTGATACACCCCTACTAATTAACCCATAGCTGGGGGAGAAGAGGTGGATTTATAGTATTTTCCAACGGGTATTTTTGCGTAAGTGGATATAACTTATCCGATTTGAATTAGAACGCGGCTCTCAAATTCGTAGTCGTTGTCCATTACACCACCCACACATCCAAGTTTACTGATATTCCCACGCAGTCACCAATCATAGTACTGACCTGCCTTAACATTGCTTAACCGGTGATCGTATGAGAACCGGTGTTTCAACATGATATGGCCATAAACCAAACCCACGTGAACATCACACACACATACACAATACGATTATGTCTTTAAATGTTTTCTTTACTTTTTAATTATCCTTATAGACGTAAAAAGAAATTCTCTTTTTATGTGATCAATTTAATGTCACTCTGTGTGTGTGCAAAATGCCTCGGCGTGTGTTGAATTCATTTCTTTTGAATGCGTTGAGATTTCAATTCCTTTGAAAGTTCTCCAACCTAATTCCATTTCAAATCTGTTACCCTCCCCAACGACTAATTCTTCTTATATTCATTGTTCTACTTCTTGACTACTTACAAATGTAAATTTTTGCCTTTCAAGTTTTCTATTCATTTCATTCTTTCATTGGTATCCCTGTCTTTCATGATACACCCACCTCATTCTGTCACAAACTTGTTACACCCCCACACAGTCACATACACTTATGTCTCAGATAGTTGTTCCGCCTGTTCTCGATTTTCTTCTTTTTTTTTTCTTTTTAATTCTTCTTCCCCTTATTTGACAAGTTCATCGAAAACAGATTTGCATTATTGTATAAACCAGTGATACAGGAACCATTTTTTTCTAAAGCCCCACAAAATAGTTTTTTTCTTGTCTTCCTCTATGGTAAAACCCAACGTTTTCTAAATTAAAATATATTAACACTACTAGTGAAAATTTCACGATTTTCCTATTTTAATTTTCTGATGAATCATAATTGTTAATTTGATGAGTAAATAAGTCCCTTGAAAATTCCATGACTATTAAATAACCATGGGAATTCTTTTATTGCATCGTCAAATATTTGAGCTTAACAACTTTAATCAAATATTTGAGTTTAACAACTTTAATCAAATATTTGGGCTTAACAATTTTAACCAAATATTGAATAACAATCATAAGGTCACGATTTAAAGAAGTAAGTGAAAAAGTCTTTAGTAACGGGTCATATCGAATAGATGAGTTTAGGTGTGAAGTAATGTCTCACGAGACGTTCAAAGCAAGGATCCTTTTTGAGAGTGCAACTATTTATCCTGACCAGGGCGAATTCAGGGTCAATGATGAAACGTTACTAGTTTGGTCTTTATGTTATTAAAAGTTACAAGCCAGTTCTTCCGCCTATTAGGCTGTTAGAGCTCGGTCTGATGAGAGATCAGCAGCCAGGCTCTGGTTGTCCACATTTTGTAGGTGCACTTCTACACTGTGGTATCATCTGCAGATATGAAAATGTTCCTGGGTAGATCATTAATATCAAGCGGAAGGGCAGGACCAAGAAGGAAGCATTGGATGACGCCTACGTTTATCGCATTGGCTGAAAAAAAAACCCTGATATAACAAGATTCAAAATTGACAATTTTTTTTCATTTCACCGAAGCAGACATTAAACGCAAGAGAGCGTTATCGTTTTCTCTATGCTCCCATTTTTTCTTTCTTTCTTGGTTCTTATTACTAAGTATGCTTTCTTTTTCTCACTAAAACCAAGTAAGGTCGATTTCTCGTCTTTCCTCACAATAAAAACATAATGATCCATTATGTACGTGAGGTAATGGCAGTGCGGCTCGTATTGAGGAATCGGAGAAACGAGTTCGAATTCCAGTCGATTCCACTATATTCACTTACGTGCTATTACCCTTGGGAAAGGTATAAATCATCCTCTTCTCTTCCCAGTTATGGGTAAATAGCAGGACAGGTCGGGTTCTATAACCTTGGATGGCAGCTGGCCTACCGCATAAAGAAATGGCAACCTACTGCGGGTAAAATCCTCGCCAGTCATGTATCGCCCAAGAGTGTATCACGTATGGTACATAATTGACTGACTGGACGGCAGTGTGTAATGCATGCGCTAATTTACAGAGGAACAAGTCGAACTGTTAATTGCCCCTCCTAAGAGGAGACCATGTTGTCTCTTGCTATTAACAGCTTTCCAAAGTAAATATTTTACTGAACTTCTGACAAAGCCATGATAATAAAACATTAACTAATGCTATATTATTATGGCTTTGTCATAAAATCAACGATCCTTTTGTTACGTGGGACAACAATAATTAAACGTTGTATGGAAACTAAACCAATTAAAAGCAAAGGAAATGGATTTGAACTTATAAACATATCTATATAAAACAGAGCAGATTTTATAATTATATGAATGAAGTAAATACAAAAAACATTGGTATATTGAGTAATAAAACAAGAAAATAGGTAAAATTATATAATTTTATGTTGATGAAAAGAAATCTGCAATGTTTTTTTGTTTTTTTTTTGCCATTAATAAATATGGTTATTGTTGAGATGTTGTGAGTTTCCCGCGTGTCGGTGTATGAATCAAGACAAACACAGTTGTAGAGGAAAATACTGGTATATTCATAAAAGCAATTAACAATAGAGTGATTAGTAGAACGAAGGTTGGTTAGTACGAAACAATATCCAAAGTCTATAGTCCAACGGTATGTACCGGGTAAGCTTATCTGGACTGCTCACGCTGACTCTCTCTCTCTGACGCTCACCCACTCTCTCTCCAGAGCTGACTTATATAAGAGGGACCAGTCCATTACTAGTTAGAAGGTGGGTGCGCCCCAACAGTTATAAAATGGACAAAGTCTGACAATTATATTTAAGATATTTTTATGTTTATACATTTTTTATAGATAAAAATATTTAAGTAAATGCTCTGTTTATAATAAACAGTATTAATGACATTTACCGGCCTGAATGTCCGAGAAATTCTCATAGAAAATATTCGTCCTCCGACAGGATTCGAACTTGCATCCTATACGGAATCCTCATTTAGCTTGACGTGTCTTAACCGATTTGGCTACACAGGAGGGTACGGTTAGCAAGGTCGAATTTACTGACTTTAAACTTCAATCTTCCATGAATCTCTCACGTACATTCATATCTGCTCAAAGCGTATCCAAATGTAAACAAATGACACATTATGAAATGGACAAAGTCCGACAATTATTAAAAGACATTTTTATGTTTATACGTTCTTTTTATAGATACAAATATTCAAGTAAATGCTTTGTTTATAATAAACATTCAATAGACATAATAGACATTCAGGTCGGTAAATGTTGTTAATACTGTTTATTATAAACAGAGCATTTACTTAAATATTTGTATCTATAAAAAGAACATATAAACATAAAAAAATGTCTTAAAATAAGTTTATGAGTTCAAATCCATTTCCTTTGCTCTTAATTGGTTTTAGTTTTCATACAACGTTTAATTTATAGGAATTAAATTATATATATATATATATATATATATATATATATATATATATATATATATATATATATAATCCTTACAATCTAAAACAAAAAATATTTTCTGCCTTTAAATCATCTGAAAAAGGTTGATTAATCCATAAAATCAAATCAATGAATCAATAAATATTGCGACAAATTAGACACTTCAGCCTTGGTTGGCAACCAGTCTATAAGAAAGTTAGCTGTGAATTCAAAACCGTGTGTAGTCCTGGCAAAGCATTTATAATGTACCACATAACTTTGAAACACTAGTTCCCGTACGATGACCGAAGTTAAGCAACGTCGAGCCTGTCAATTGCTAGATGGGTGAACACTGAAAAATAACAGGTGCTGTAAGCATAGATGTTGTGTAATGGATAATGGCTCAGAATTGCTAATCTGAGAGCCGAGTTTCAATCCTAGTTGGGTTCGTTATATTCACTTACGCACAGGTGCCCTTGGGTAACTTATCAATCCACTTCTTCTCCCCTAGCTACGGGTTAATTAGTAAGACTTGTATCACTAAAACTATTATAATCTCAGAAAAAGAAAGTAGAATTGCCTATAAAATATTTAGATTTCAGCATTAGATAATCCGTAGAGGTGTTGATATGCCGCTAAACAAAAACAACCAATCAATGTAAAAAAAAAGATCATGGATTTTACAATGTCTGCATGATACCAACTGCAGCCATTTAATCAGTCAAACAACCAATCAATCTTAGCTCCAGTTCTGTTATTCTTATAATTAAGAAGCGTGGTTTTGGTAGAGGGTCAAATTTAGCACATGGGGAGGTTCTATTTTAGTAGAAACTTCAGTAGAAATGAAATGCAAGCTGAAACTGCAAACCATGACACCACAATAAAGTTGTTTTCGTAAACCAAATCTTAGGAGCTTCATACCATGGCTGGATGTTTTTAATAATTGGTAAGGTTAGAATTGTTCTCGATATGCAATAAATGGAGGAAGTTTAATAAAAGGTAGAATGTCGGGAATTGTTTAAACATTGGAAATTAATGAACGGCTTAATCTGAAAATAAACATCCAAAGGATATTGACTAAAATTAGTATATTTCGAGGAAGACGCCACAAACATTGAAGCTCGTCTTCACTATACCATTTGCTAATGTTTTCTTATTCATGTATTATTTCGTGAATGGTTAGATTTTAAAAGCTAGTGGTAAATTTTACAAGCCAATTAAAGTATTTTCAAACCAGTATTTAAAACAGACTTTTTCTTCCTTCTTGTCAAATGAATATAAATTAACAAAACAAACACGCTGAATCATTCAAAATATTGAGAATTTAAAAAAAAAAAGGTATAATAATTTCCCATAAGCCCGCTATGAAATGTCAGAAATAGCGAATAATAGAAGATTTTTAATTTGGGCCCAAGAGGACACCCACAGACTGGAAAAGTTGAAAACGAAAGATTTATAGAAACTGCTAGCAAGCAAAACTAAGTTGCATTTATTACGGGAATTATATTACAGGATTGTTACAATTATTAAGAACAGGCATATAAAAGCCAGATGTGAAAATAAAACAGGTGGAAAAGATATTTGCAAATATCATGACCGATATTTTTAAACAATACCCCGAAAATGGGTCCTTCAAAAAAATAAAATTTTCTGATCAAGATGACAACAGTAACATAGAGATTGACCTATATATAAAATTAGGGTTGATTAAAACTGGCAAATAAAAAAATAAAATAAAATAAATGGCTTCTTGACAAATGATTTTTACCTTCTAGGTTTTAGGGAATC